GTCGTTCCTTCCTCTCTCTCTCTCTCTCTCTCTCTCTCTTTCTATCTATCTTTCTTTTCTCTTCATCACACCGTGATGCATGTAGGCAAGTGCAAACGTTTTTTTTTTTTATTATTATTTGTTCTTACTTATTACCTCTTCTTGCCACTATCATTTAGTGCTCTGGACGGCTTGTGATCGGTACTCCGTGGGTTACGCGTATGCCCGTTGAGGAACAAAAGCCAAACACATACAAAACAACGACAAAACAATATCCAATGAAACATCTCGTCTTTTTTCTCGGAGGTGGTGGGCTACGAAGGTTGCGTTGTGAATGTGCATTCCCTAACCCCCCGTCCCGTCTCCCCGTGCTGGGTGAGAGTGGAGGCGGTTTTAGGTTACCTCCGCCTCGTCACTGCTTGCTGCCGTGCACAGAATGCAGCTCGCACTGCGCCCTATCCCCTTCACTTTCTCAATCTCGCGCGCTGTTGAATGTGGAATGAATGAATATATATATATATATATAGTGTGAACGCATTACAGATAGGCATACATTGTAATCATGGTATTAGGGAAAAGTAACGCATTTGCTTTTTGCATGATCGTCTGCTACGGGGGCTGTGCGGTATGAAAGGCAGGATGGTGAGGGATAATCGTAAGTTTTTTTTTTTTTTACTACTTCTGCTGTTTTTTTCGGCGTCATGTGGTGATGTAAGATAAGGAAAGTGACGGGAAAGTAGGAAGGGAATAGGGAGAAAGAGACTTGTTCTATATCTACATATGAACAAGGAGGGAAGGAAAGGAAAAAGCAAAAGAAAGCAACAACAACACCAGTAATCTAACCAAATTGGATGTTCAGCTTACGGAGCCTTATGCGCGTCTTTTTCTTCCGATCAGTGTGCGATATAAATATGCATGTGACTCTTTTTTTACTAACTCACTCACGCACAGACACACACACCATGTGCATAATTCGTGCTTTCCTTGTTGTTGTGATCTCTGCTTCCTTGGAGGAGGAGGAGGAGGAGGAGGAGGAGGGAGGGGAAACGAGAGTGAATACGCCCTCAAAGCCCTGTCCATACACACATACGCAGCAAGTGTAAATAAATAAATAAACCATAAGTATATATATGTGTATGTATATACATATATAGTATTTGTTTACGTTGCCAGTATACTTTTCTCTGCTTTTTCCTCTTTGTGGGGTGTTTAACGCCGCCGCCGCATCTCTGTTGCGTTTCCACTAGAGTCTTCTTGTGACCCCCATTGGGCACCAGCACTAGTGGTAGCACCACCGTCGGCACCGAGTCACAACATTTTGTGTAATCGCACTGCTTCCTAGGGCAAGTACGTCTGACGTAGCTGTACCGATAGACCTCGAATGACGCATGCGCTGCTGAGCTCCGTGGGATGGGCGTACAGGGGTTTGTTTTCTCTGCGCCAGCCCCAGCAGCAACCCGGTGAGGAAGAGGAAGAAGCGTGGGAGCGGTCGCCGCAGGATTGGGGCGGGTTGCCGTCGCCGGCAGTACGACCGCCCGCCGGTGGGGTGGAGGTGTATGCGGAGCGCACGGTGGATGACAATGCCGGGTGGAGGCACAACACCTTCCCCCTGTTTGGTCGTTTCAGTTCTTGTCGTTCTCGACGACGACGGCGCTCGCCAGACTCGGGCAAGCGTGAAACGTGTGGGTCGCGTCATACGTTGCACCGTTTCGTGGAGGTCTTTCGTTCCAGGAGCCTCCGGAGCAGAGAGGGCGGAATCCCCATCTCCGTTGAGGAGGAAGTGGAAGAGGATCCGGTGGCCTCTCCTGCTGCCTCATGGTCGTTGACGATGACGTCGGCTGCCTCCACGCCGGGGGCTGTTGATGAAGCTCTTGCAGAACACTCTCGGTCTCGCACGCTGGCTCCACACGAAAAGCAGCAACAACCTGTCACCATGGAAGACATGCGCAATCGCGTCATGTCAGCGCCTCTCTCTCTATGGGAGGTTCCACTACTAGAAGAGCTGGGACAGAACGGGCACTTGGACGGCCGTGAGGCAACGGGAATAGGAAACAACGGTGTCGAGGGGAAAATGCTTTTTGCATCACTTGAAACACCGCAAGGAACCCCGCCACCACGATCTCCGCTGGAAGCGGAGGCTCTCGTTAGTCGAATGACGCTTCGTGACGACACAACTGCCACTGCCCTGCTCCCTTCTGCTGCAGCCAAAAAACAGAACACGGTGTGTGAAAGAGACGCCCATCTGTTGGCACTCCACGTCCATGAGATGGGGTCGCTACTGCAGCGTGGCTCCAGGTGCAGTGATGCTCCTATTGATGCAGTAGCAGCAGCTGCTCAAAAATCATGCGGCGTGAAATTGCTGGCGGAGGAACAACCACCATCCACTCCGATGGAAGAATCTACCGTGTTTGATGACCTTTCTCGCAGGTTTTTGTTCTCGGTTGTGACCGGGGAGGATCGGCGTGTGCGTACTGTGTACGAGGACGTTATGAGTACGGTGTGCACAGGGATAATAGAGGAGGAAGTCATCCACCATATTCAACGAATGGAGGGTGCCGCTTTGCGGGCGCTGGATTATTGGGCCGTAGAGGTTATCGTGACGGAGCTGACGGAGGTGAAGCAACGACTCCTCTCTGCACCGGCTCTGTCAAGTGGCATACAGCGTCATATTAAGGGGCGTAAGGCGGCAGTGTTGACCGCACTAACGGAAGACGCGAAAGACAAGGAGGTATATGCGTCAGTATTGCGTCGAGGCAGAGGGAATAGTAGCCAGGCGCAGGAAACCGCCGTGTCCTTCAAAAATGGGTTGACACTGAGTTACCAGCAGCTCGCAACATTGGGACCGGGCCAGTGGCTAAATGACCAGGTCATCAACGCGTACTTGAGTATGATCGTCGAGGAGCGGAACCAGGCGGCGGGTAAGGAGGTGGTGGTTTCGCTGGGCACGCACTTCTTTGCGCGGGTGCAGCAGGAGCTCCCACACAGCTCCTGCACCGCGTCGGGTCTGCCTGCACTACACAAAGACAGCGGCATCCTTCGTTGGTTAAAGCGTCGTCGTCATATTCTGCAACCAGGTGTCACACGTATTGTGCTGATTCCGGTCAATTTATCCCAAACCCACTGGGCACTGGCTGTCCTTAATTGGGAGCTTCGTACATGGTTTTATTACGATAGCTACATTAAAAGCACGGCGGCCATGACACGTGGTGCAGAGGTGCTTCATCTGTTGGCACACGTGTTTTTGGAGTCGAAGCGTATTCTTTGCGAGACAGAGGCGGGGGATGCATGCCCGCCAGCGGACTGGAGGCTTGTCGTGGCAGTACCACTTCGCGTGGGTGAATGCTGCAGCGATGGAGGCTTTGCTGTTGCTCCACAGCAAACGAACATGTATGACTGTGGCGTCTTTGTTTGTCATACGGTGTGGTGTGCGGTGCAGGGCATTGCCACAATATTTACACAGGACGCTGTGACGGCACATCGAAAGGTCATGCTGCACGAACTCCTCTGCCAACAGAGTCTTTTGCAGTTACCTGTAATTGCGTTCTTGACGCCGTGAGTTAAGTGTGCGGTCTTGCTAAGAGCAAATACGCATCAATCATCCCTAGGCCCTGCTCAATGTGTGCCTGTGTTTCACTTGACTCCTATTTTTCTCTTGCCGCCGTTCCAAGGGGTGAGCGAGATGCTCTCGTGGTGGTGGGTGGCGTAGGGGGAGCCCGTTGTACCCCCATCACTGCGGATGACTTGAGCTTCATCCGCATCTTCCCACATCCCCGCGTTGTGTACCATCTCTCTCTCTCTCTCTCTCTCTATGTGTGTGTGTGTGTGTGTGTGTGTGTATTGGTGATTGGTGAGGCGTTGTGGTGTAGCAGGGATGGCTTCCGCTCTATGCCGCTTTTCCGTACTGTTCTCCGTTTAATTTCCTTGATTCTACCTCGTTCTAAAGAATAAATTTTCACGATCCTCGCTGCCTCCTTTCTCTCTCTATTTCCCTTTGTCTGTCTATTTGTCCCACATCTTTTCCTTGCCCTTGTGTGTGTGTGTGTGTGTCTTAGTGGTGGTGGTGGGGATCGAAAGTGGCACTGTCGTGTAGTCGGAAAGGCTGGGGAGAGGAGAGTGAACCGGAAAAACAAGACGAAAAAAAAAGAAGACGACATAAATAGCTGCGGCGCAGGGAGGGCGTGCGAGTGTGGGAGTGAGAACGGGCGCTAATAAGATTGAATCTGTGCGTGCAATCCGTCTTCACTGTCACCACACGTGACTGTCTCCCGGGAACGTAGTGGCTAAGGAAGGGGAAAAAAGGAAAAAGAACAGGAGTGGTGGGGACGCACAGCTTTGGTGGGTGCACTCCTCTGCCTTTTCGCTCTTTTTCCTTCTTTCTCGGTTTTATTGGGTGAACTCGTATACTCGTATGGGGCAGCACGTGTCTTCCTGCAGTGCGAACGGGTCTGAGCGAGGCAGAAATAGCTCCATGCCACACGATGGGACTCATCGCCGTTTCCCTCACGGGCTAGTTTCAGAGGCATCTACGAACGTCCGACCAACGCCGCTGCCGGCTGCGGAAGCGGCCGTTGCCCGCAGCTCGTGGATTTCGGTGACAGAGTCAGCGCTTACCTGCGAGTGGCAGGCCGGGAGGGAAGGACAACGAATGGGCGTTGCCTCCACATCCCCACACATCTCGCTCACATGCGCGGTAGTGCCATTCCCGGAAAACCGTAGTTCAGGCATTTGGCACACAACTGTAGACGCCAGGGCAATTCCAGAAATTCCTGTTGGCAAGGATTTCTTTTCGGCGCTGCGTTCGGCCTGGCGAAAAGGCGCTCCTGCAGGCGAAAGACAGGAGTTCTCATCGGATTCTGATGCATGTCGTTCCTACTCCAACACAGCGTTCTACGTGGTTGAGGATCCGTACGCCGGAGTCATGTCGCCACCAGTGCCGCTGTGGTACGCGGTTTCAGAGGTTCTCGTGCCACAGTGGACAGAGGAAGGGCTTTTTGATGCACCTGCTCTGCGCAATAACCGCTGACTGCAGTCAGGCCCACGACGCTGCGGTTGTGATTACACTTTTAATTTTATTCTGTGCATGTGCTTGACGTAAATCGACGTGGTGTGGTGTAGTGCGAGGGGTGGTAATAAACGAGGAAAGCAAGCACGCAAGCACGCAACCAAGCAAACACACAAAACAGAGCGAGAAGAAGGATGCCAAGGACCCGGTATCAGCGGTCACTCCAAGAAAGCAGCAGTGGTGTTTGCGGTGATCTGGGGGAGGAGGTGGAATAAGAGGCATAGCCGAAGGTGCCATGGTATCACGTCCCAAGCACGGATGAGACCGATGCACAAGGAGATGGCGGGTGTAAACGATAGGGGGGGGGACAGTTTCCCTTTTCTCGCTTTTCCTTCCGCTTCCCTCCAGATCGTGTATCTGCTTTGCCCCTCACGCAACTTTTCTCCTTTTACCTCTTTTATTATTTTGTGTCTGTGGTGCCCTAAATGCCCCCTTCGAATTCCCGTGATTGCCACTGCGTGTGCCGAATGGGTTACCTCTCAAACTCCTTGGCCCGCCTTACGTTTGTGCCACCACATCTCTCGCTCCGGCTCGGGTGAGGCGCAACGCGGCTCATACCCCACTGTGAATGTACATCCTCGCGGGGCCGTTGAGGAGTGGTAGTTTTGTTTTTCTTTTTGGTTGTTGTGGATGTGCCTGCAATGACGTGTTTTCTACGCTCATGACGACTGCTTTGTCGCTTGTGGGGGGGGGGGGGGTGTCCGCGCACTGACGGGCGGGTCTCCCTCCCGCCGCTGCCGCCGTGCATTGCTGCCACCTCTTCTCTCCGTCGTCTCCCACGCCCCGCAGGCTTGACGTTCGAGGCAGCTGTGCGGGTCACAAGCGAAGCCAGAGGGCGCAGCGGGAGGCGGTGTAATCAAGCACCACCAAACAGAAAGAAAGGGTTCTGACATACCACACAAGAGCCGTACCGAGAGCGATAAGCAGGCGGAAGCGGAAAGAACAACAACAACAAATAGTGAGGGAACAAGTCGAGAGGGACCGAAGAGGGGAATTAGTGACACGGCAACACGTGAGAAGGATAATACAAAAATATATATATATAATTAAAAAGGGCTTATTTTTTGCTTCACTTCAACCCTTTTCTCTGCGTGTCGGCATCACTTCTTTCAAAGTTACTGCGGATTGCCTCCCACTCTGTGCAGTTATTGATGGAGCCGGCGCCCACGAGGAGTACTGGCGATGTGTCGACGGCCGAGGCAAACGCTGATGGGGCCAATCGCAGCAGCAACAACGCGAGGAATATCAGCGGTGCCCGGCGTCATGGTGGCAGTGGCAGCCGTAATGGGGGCAGGCTGCGCCGTAGCGGGGGCGGGGCAATCCCGCCTGCAACGGCCAATCTGTTTAGCGTGCAGCAGGAGCTAAAAAAAGTGTCCCCGCAACAGCCATGCCCCGCGTCTAGATCTGCGCTGGAGAGTGAGGAGGAGGAGTCTAAAATGGTGTTGGCTGTCAGCGATGACGTCAAACCCGCCGGCAGCAACCTTAACAAGCCGGATTACGGCTCTGTCGCCGCGGTGACGGCGCTTGATAGCCAAAGTTTTGTCTGTGAGAGTGAGCGTGTCGGCCCTGCTGCAGGGGCGACTTCAATAAAAAGTCCCGCTGAGGCTGAGTCAGGGCACAGCGACGGAAGGAAGCGACGACGACAGTGGTGGTGGTGGCGACAGCACCAGCGTCATCGACGGAGGCGGAGCCAAAGTCAGCCTGAAATACAAGAGATACAACGTAGGTGCGAAGTGGGAAGTCATTTCAAAGCTGCCGTTGGGCCGTATCGCAGTGCGCTCTACATGAACCCTAGTATCCGTTGCGTGGGGAGCGATGGATTGCCGTACCGACAAAGCTTTAAGGAGTTGCTGCGACCCTGGACTGCGGGGCCCGTAGAGGTCGATACACCCTGCTTAAGACCCATAGACGCACCGTTGTGTGTGCAGCAATGCTCCAATGCCGTTGTTGCTGCACCAGCGGAAAACGAGGATGGGCTTCAACTGAGGGCTGTTCGTGAGGAGGAGGGGTTGGCGGTAAGGTCGCCGATGATTACTTTTACACTGGATGGAGTGGCAACGCCCAAGACCTTTGCGGTGATCAAACGACAAGAGGTGGATGTGGGGGTCATATCGCTCTCCGCATCGTGTTCGGTAGGCGAAGACACGGAGAAGCGCCGGATGCAGGCATTGCCACCGATACGGCCACCGCATGCCATACGCGTGAAGGAGCTGCCACACCAACGAATCCTTCGCAGCTACGTGAATGGTTCCTTCCTTTTCTACCAGACCGAGGGGACCAAACGGGAGTTCTTGCTGTTGTTTAGGGAAATTTTGGCGCAGGTGCGGCCTATTTTTGAGGCGGAACCGCTATTTCCACGTTTGGTGGCGCCCACCTTTGTCTTTGGGGATATCCACGGCAATTTTGAGGACCTGGCTTTTTTTCTTCGTAATGTGCTTATATTTCACGACCTCCAGCTCACCCCTGCCAATGTTCTTTGCTTGGGGGACTACGTGGACCGCGGGCCGTACTCGCTCGAGTGTCTTATGCTGTTGCTCTCGCTGAAGATCAGCCACCCGTCGAGGGTGATACTGCTGCGTGGTAATCATGAGGATCGTGTAGTGTGCGGCGACGTCTTGACGTATGGATCCGCCTCCTTTCTGGCGCAATGTGAGGCGTTGTACGGTCTCGAGGAGGGGCGGCGGCTGTTCAGGGAGGCGACAGCCCTGTTTCGCCACTTCCCACTCGCGGCCGAACTCCTCATTCCATCCGTGCCAAACATTTGTGTCGACAGCAACGGCAGTAATAATGTTAATACTACTACTACTGCTACTACCAATAGTAACAACGACAACAAGGCGGGCTTTCTAGGTGATGTGCCGGTGTTCCCCATTTCAAGATCATTGGCGCCACTGGGTCGACGGAGGACGCATGAAGAACGCATATTGTGTACACACGGCGGCATCCCGCGCTTCTTTTGCCCGCCCAAGGAAGATGACAGCCTTGCATTTCTGCGACGTGAGGACTTCCCGCGCATGCTTACCCTGTTCCCAAATAATCCCTTTGTGAAGGACGACCCTGAGGCCCAGATGAGGTTGCTGGAAGCGGTGGGACAAACCGGCGTCTCGCAGGCTTCCTTGACGCCCGCCATCAACGAGGCGGCACTGCGTAAGGCGTGGTACGTTGCATTTGATCTGATGTGGTCCGACCCGACAAGCACAGACCCCGGTGACGAGAATGACGATACCGACTCCACTGCATGTATCGCAGCCGGGAGTGGCCATGTAGATATCAATGAGTGGGGCTTTGGTGTGAACAAGCGCGGCAGTAATGTGCTGACCTTCTCTGCCAAGGCTGTAGACACTTTCTTGCAGGCCCACCAGTACAGCATGCTGTTTCGCGCCCACCAAGAGAAGGCGCATGGGCTACGTGTTAGTAAGAGCAGGAAGGTGTTGACCATCTTTAGCAGCTCAAACTACCTCGGGCATGGTAACGGTGCGGGGTGTGCGTTGGTGAATGCCGATGGTGAAATTCAACTGATAGAGAAGTTGAGTGAATGACACCTTTGCTGGCGTTTTGAAACATTGCTGCAGACACCGAGTGAGATGAAAGAGAGGGTGAACGATAGAGTGAAACAGAGAGAGAGAGAGAGAGAGGTCAGAGGGAAAGAACTGTGCGGGTACATTTCTACTTCATGACGAAGAATGAACTGGGCGACGTACACGCAAACAGGGAAGGAAAAGGCGTCAACGTTTTGAGAACCGCACAGGAAATGATGTGGCGGAACTATCACTCAAACTCACATGCAGACATGTATGTATATGTATATAGCCCTGTTTGTTTGTTTGTTTGTTTTTCTTGTTTTGATCAAATGGACATATAGACAGGTACTCACGCTCGCATATATATATATATATATATAATATGTGTGTGTGTATCTTTGCAAATCTGTACAACTGGGTTTATGGGAGGTGGAGCGATGAACCCTCTGAGACGCATCTCCTTCAAGGGGTGGGGGTGGGGTGGTAAAGAAGACGGATAACACACACAAGCAAACACGAACTAAATGCCTTATTAGCGGGTAATAAAATACAAATAAAAATAAAACTTGCGATTAAAAAGAAAAATAATAACAATAATAAAACACTACCAGTGAGAAGTTATTGGTGGGTGGAGAGCGGTCAGGCAAGTGAATGAGACTACAAGTGAGTAGGCATGGATGGAGGAGCAGGCGGAGCGAGGAGCCGTACGCACAGGACTTCCCCGCCTCTTCCCCTCATGACATGTCAAGCATTTTCAAGAGCCACTCATACACGCGCATGTATGAAGTGGACACAAAAATAAAAATGAATGTAGGTGCGACGCAACACAGCGGTATCACTGCCTGAAGTGGCTGATGAGGGGAGTTTCGGGCTTGTTGTGTATTCTTGCTGCATGCGTTTTTGGCGGCACAGGAATGTTTTTTTTTCTCCTTTTTTTGATCTTGTTGGCCCTTCTCCCTCCTTTTTTTTTTGAAGTGGTGCTGATTCTGCGATCTACTGCTGGCAGCAGAGAGCGCACGCAAGAGGAACGACGGAAAAAGACAAAAAAAAAACGGGGGTATTTTGAAAGAAGTTTGGAAGGACGAGGGGTTGGACTGGGGGGTAGGGACGGGGGAGGATCAAGACCGACAGGGCGAGGGTGTGAATGGCGCGGGGTGCGGCGGGAAGGAGTGAGAGTGGGAGAGTGAGCTCAGGGAGGTTCATTGTGTGTGTGCGTGTGTTTTGTCGCTGGTTTCCATGCCCCTGCATTGTGGCGGCACTCTTCACTTCGTCTGCTTTTTTGAAAATGATTTTTCTTTTCTTTTTTGTAGATTGTTTCTCTTGTGGGTGAGAGCCTGTGCGAGGCAGACTTGCGACAAGCAGAAGGCTAAGAGGGAAAGTTAGTTGTCGAGAGCGACAGTGGCGCGTGGCGTGCGTCTTTGTAGGAAAAGTTTGGCCGGAGGCCTCGCTGGGCGTGGCTTCTGCATGCTCCCCGGGGTACACACGTTGCGTTCGGTAGAGGACGTTGTGGTGGACCGCCTGCGGTGGTGGCGCGCGCAGCAGGAGGCGTTTACGGCAGCTGCGACAACCGTCACTGCACAGGGCTCTCGCCGACCCGTGGCAACACCGTTCACGGCCAAAGCAACATCGCGGCCGCGGTCACGCTCTGCCCCTCTCCATAGCGGCTCAGCTCACCGTCAGGAACGACTCTTGACGATGATGCCACCGCGCGAGGCTGTGGCTTTGCGTCACCCACCGATGCTTCTCTTTTTGAAGTGCGAGGCAACCGCTGAGCGGCTCGAAGAGGTGCAGATGGCATTACGCGAGGGGGAGGGGGCGGTGTGGCTCACCCGGCTGTTGTCGATGGAACGCGTCTTCTATGGCCCCCAGATGCGGCCCTGCAACCCAGACGTCACGCGCGAGCTCTCGGTACGGAAGAGGTGGCCGCGGCGACGCGCGGCGTCATCTCCACCGCTGCAATCCCCCGCTTTGGATTTTGAAAGAGGCCGGCACAACAATATGGGGAATGCATCACGCAAGCGCCGTGAAGCTGGTCGTGCGACGTTGCCAAACAACAAGGGTGGGGTGGTACCACTCGTTTTGCCTTCTTCCCTCTCGTGCCGAAAAGTGAGCAGTCTACAGGATTCGTATGTATTTCATCCTGAGGCGGACTTCGTTGGTGATGGGGCTTTTTCGCGTGTCTTCCGCGCAGTGCCGCTCTTTAGAGCGACCTCTAGTCTGAGTTTCTTTGCGATCAAAGTCATTCCCCAACGAAAGTGGAAGGATTCTACTCTTATCAGTTCCTGTACGTCGCTACATGGCGGAGCAAAGGTGCGTGATGTTAAACAGGGCGCTGCGCGAGAGGAAGCCACTGCTCGCTCTAAGCTGAATGAGCAGACTGCAGAGGTTCCTGCTCGTGACTGTTATGGCTTGGAATACCATGACGCTATGCACCGTGAACTTATGGGGATTGAACGAGAGATATCCATCGTACGCTCGCTGCGCCACACGGGGTGCCCACAGTTTGTGGAGGCGCTGCGTACACCAGATGAGTTTGTTATTGTTATGAACATAGGGCCGGGTTGCATGGATGCCCGGCGTTATCTTCGACTGAATGGCCCTCTGTCCGACAATCGGGCGGCGCTAATCATTTACCAACTGGTGAAGACGGTCAACTATCTGCATTGCACGCATGGCCTTATTCACCGTGACATTAAGTTGGAGAATGTTCTACTTTCCCGCATCGATGCCTCGCAAGATTGTATTCAGAGGGTTCTTGGTGAGCCCCTTGCAACTCAGACGCACGAGGCAGAGGACAGTGTGCCGGAGGTGAATGAGGCGGCGATAAAGACGATGGAGTACAAGGAAAACAAACAGGATGCCAAACCACAGAGGCATTGCTTGACATCCGTGTGGGGTCCACTCTCCGTCGAACGGAGGTCCGAAAAACTAGAGCAACTGATAAAAGTGACCCTCGTTGACTTTGGCCTGGCACGGCGTACAACGAGACGCGGGGAAAGGTGTAGGGGGCGTGCCTCTGGCGAGGGCAATGTGGGGAATCCACAGCCCAACAATAGCGGCAGCACCCGCTGCCACCGCGTTGGCATGCCCACCCCGGTGCCGTCTGCGGTCAACATGTTTGCCTCTGTAGATAGTGAAAGTGCCTCCGTTGCGACAAGCTCCGACATAATCCACACAGAAACCACGGCTTGCAGCATCAGCAACAACGACGATGCCGGCGAGGACAACGACGCCTACGTGGAGATGTCTTTGGACGATGATGTTGGCAACAACGATGGTGCCGATACTTACGGCGGAGCAGGGGAGGGCGTCGCTGTGGCGGTTGAAGGCGAGGCCTCAACAGGCACATTGAACGCGTTACCTCGCGTCCCCGCCGCGGAGATGTCCCGCTTTGCTGCTCGTGTTGGCGTTGGTGGGGTTGCAGGAGTTGGGGCTCTCAACGTTTCCGTGCTGTCTGACTGCAAGCAGGAGGGGGAACAGACTCGGGGATGGCGTCTAGTTCTGTAGCACACTGTTTCGCACGCTTTTGTGGTGGCTCCACGCACCGTTCTGTGACAACCGCGTCTCTGACCACTACCGCAGCGGCACAGATGGCGACGCTCTTCCCGTCTGCTGTGTTTACGCAGCGCAGCGAATCAAACTCTCGCTCGTGGCGCGAGGAACCCCAAGATGATGGAGAGACGCTGCTGTACTTGACGCCATGTGGCACTGACAAGTACCTCCCCCCGGAAATGCTGAGCTGGACTGTCAACTGTGGATGGAAGTGCAAACCCGCAACGCTTCGTATGGCGCGTCAACTTGACGCGTACGCCATTGGAATTGTTGCGTATGTCCTCCTCAGTGGCTGTTTTCCTTTTAACGGGGCCTCGCGGGCAAGCATGGCCCAACAACAGCAACGCTGCACCCCAAAGTGCAATAGTGCTCACTGGAAGCACATTAGTCCCGAGGCAATTTCGTTTGTGCAGTCAGTCTTGGAGCCGGATCCGGATATCCGGAGCACAGTCACAGAGGCACTGACACATCCGTGGATGCAACGTGCCGCCCAGTTTGCAGAAAAACTTTTGCTTGTGCCTGAGTCTCTGGAGGAGCTGCAAGTAGGCGGCAATGCGTCCGTGGGGGCATCTACGAGAAGGAAGGAAGCCCAGACGCCCTCACCTCATATGCATCAGCAGCAGGGTGCAACCCTTGCGGGGCGGCATCCCAAAGACGTTTTCGCCGCTGCAGATAATAGTAGCTGTGCGTTGCGGCGGTCAGCCACCCATGACAATTTTATATATTGTGGCAACAGGGCAAGCGCCACTCCTGAATTCCTGCCATCGAAAGTGGACCACGCGGGGGCGGGGGGGCTGGTGAAGGCGTCTGAAGAAGAGAAGCCGCAGGCGACCTCAACAAGGACGACGATAACAGCAATGCGGGAGAAAGAGGCAAGCTGTGTGGCTCACACCATGTCGCCATCGGCGTGGCCGTCGCAGGCACTTTTATCTGGTTCTCCGCCGACGCAAACAGCCGCGTCGCTGTTGGCGCAGATTTCAGCTATGCAGGGGGCTTCTCACGGCGGTGACGATATTGCTGGGAAGCCGTCGAATATCGATTCAGAAACGGCGAAGGAGAATATAGACTTTGATGAGGAGACCGACCCGTTCCATCGCATCTTCAAAACGGTTATGTCTGGAAAGTGACGGAGGAGTGGCAGGTGCTTCAGTCATGAAGGTTGCAGCTGTATGCTTGGCTCTGTGCAGGCTCTGCTCCTTTTTTTCTCTTTATCCCTTATACAGTGGGCGCGGAATCAGTCGAAGCAAACACGGGCAAAGGGCAATAAGCGGATCGTGGAAAAAAACTCTGGTGTAGGCGTGTGCAATGGACAGGAAATGCCAATACACTCATTGTCTATTGTGTGGTAATGGGGATACTACTTTGAGTTTTTTTTTTTTTGTTCTTCTTCTTTAGTTTTATTTTTCATTCTACGGGCAGTTGACGAGTTTTTTCTTGGTTTTCTTAGCTTTTCTCTTTGACTTGTTTTTTTTTTTTTTCGTTTGTGTGTGCTTATGGTTGCTTTTATTGTAATTTATGGGCACGATGTGTGCATTTGTAGAATATAATGCGCCTACACAGTGTGCCGCCTCTTAGGTATAACATATATGGTTGCTTATAGTGCCATGCTTGTGTGTGTGTAAGAGCATCATCGTGTACGTCGCCCTCCCCGCCCTCCCTCGCTCTCTCGTTCTCTCTTTTTTTCCCTATACACGTGTATATGCTATGTACCTTACTCTCTTTCCACATTTCCTCCTCCGTGTGTGTGTGTGTGTGTGTGTTTGTGTAGGACGGTGCTGGCTTGAGTAAATCTCTCCCTGGTATGAAACGACACTTCGCCTTTGTACCCCGCTTACATCTGCATGTATGTGGCGGTCATTTGTTTAGTTTTATATTATACTGAGTGCAGGTAGTAAAAGTTTTTTTTTTTCGTTTGGCTTGGTTTTTGTTTTGAGCGGGGCGGAGGCGATGCTGTGC